CCTAAAAACTCCTATTACAAAACCAATATTTTAAGGGTAAGTGACTCACTGAAACATGTAATGGTGAAATTGTACCCTCTACTTAAATACTTGTACGACATAATTTTAAAATGAAGTACCCGTATAATTATACAGATATCTGACTAAAGCTGAGGCATCATTCCTTTATATTTGTATAAGACACTGCATTTTGCGCAAATTTAAATTTAACATAAACGGAAATGCTCGGATTACAGAAAAAGTACATAATATTCAACTCTAGAATTGGAAATTCACAACAGGAAAAAAACACTGCAGGAAAAAAGATGGTTTTATAGTGTTATCAAATAACAAATTAATGGAATACAAACAAAAACACTCCCGAACGGATTGGTTTGGTTTCGTATTATTGAACGTCCTATCAACAGTTATGGTAACTTAAGGACGGCCTCCCCTGTGTGCAAGATGCATGCGTGAAGTGTATGCGTGTGTGTTTTGGGAGGCTGCGTAATGTTCGTGATTGTCTCCTTGTGATAGCGCGGAACTGATGCTGGCTATATAGTGCTACCTCACTGAAACATACTGCCGAAGACACCCAGGAGGACACCCGACGCGGTCACATTATACTGATAACGGGTGAACTAGTCGTCCCACTCCTAAATTGCTAAGCGTTAAGCAGAAGTAGAAACTATCATTTTTACAGACTCTGGTATGTCTCGGCCAGGGAACAGAACCCGAAGTCTTCGTCACAGGGGCGAACGCTCAGCTAAAGACCAAAAGTGAGGCATTGTCAAGGAAGACATTAGGAAGAAGAAAGTTGTTTAGAAAGAAGACAAAAGATAAGATCCCAAATTTAGTCGCCTCTTTCGATTACGCAATGTAGGTACATGTAGCAGGTACAATTTTTACGCCCTTCCTGCAGGCACTTCGCGAACGTAAATGTCTCACATTCTGCTATCATGTACATTCTTTTTTAGTTTTAACCTTACTGCTAATCTCATTTTCCGAATCTTATCAGACACAGGAAACGCATCGTATCAATCGTCTTCTTTTACTATCACTAACAATTAATAATTTTGTCCATTAGTTCCTTTGACATATTTAGGTACCATGTCACTGAATTTTGTTGCATCATCAGACACATTTTTTGCATTGTTCAATGATTTAAAACATCGCCTTTAATTACACTATAGTCTTTTATAGAAATATGCACTATAGAATACAGATTGAATTTAAATTTTAGATGAGAAACGTCCTCGTCGACGTTTACAAATGTGCATAACATATGCATCT